TGATCTCGTGGCTCTTTAGTCTTCTCTGTCTCCATTCCAGTGGCACTGTCGTCTTGGTCACCCGTCACTTCATGTTTTGAAGCGTCAAGTTCCTAGTCTTAGTCATTTGAAATTCTTGTCATGTGAAGTTTGTCAACTTAGTAAGCACCATCGCATGTCTTTCAAGTTTAGGGTTAATAATCGTGTCTCTAGTCTTTTTCATTTGGTTCATTCAGATGTATGGGGTCCAATAAAGCATTCTTCAATCAATCAATTCCATTATTTTGTGACATTTGTGGATGATTATTCTCACCTGACTTGGTTATTTTTGATGAGAGATCGTTCTAAGTTATTTTTAATTTTTCAAAAATTTCGAAAAGAAATCAAAACTCAGTTTGGATGCCCAATTCGTATTCTACGTTCTGATAATGTTAAGGAATATTCTTCAACCCCCTTTGATACATATCTTAGTGATAAAGGAATTATTCATCAAAATTCATGCGTTTATACTCCTCAACAAAATGGAGTTGCAGAACGTAAGAATCGACACCTCTTAGAAGTAACCCTTGCTCTTTTGTTTCATATGCGCATGCCTAAACGGTTTTGGGGTGTTGCTGTTCTTACTGCTTGTCATCTTATTAACCGTATGCTGTCATCTGTGTTAGATGGTAAATCTCCATATTTTATTTTATTTCTTGATTCTCCTTTGTTCTCTTACTCCTAGAGTTTTTGGATGTGTATGTTATGTCCACAATCTTGGTCCTGGTTTTGATAAACTCGACCTACGTGCCACAAAGTGTGTATTTCTTGGATACTCTTGTTCTCATAAAGGTTATCGCTGCTATAGTCCTGTTTCTCAACGGTACTTTATTAGCGTAGATGTCACCTTTTGTGAGTCCATTCCATATTTTTCAGATAGTGATTCAATTCTTGATATTACTCCTGAGTCGCCTCTTCCTGCGATCCCTCTTCCCTCACTTTCTCTTCAACCGAGATCTCCTTTGCCTGCCCCGTTACAGGTGTACACTCGAAGACCAAAGCCATCTGCTGTCGTGCCTCCTCCATTGTCTTCAGAGTCTTTGGATCCAACACAGTCCACTGTGTCTGATTTCTTGCCTATTGCACTTCGTAAAGGTACTTGCTCGTGTGTCACTAATCATCCCATTGCTCATTATGTCTCTTATAATTCTTTATCGCCAACCTTCTCATGTTTTTCCTCTCAGTTGTCTACTACATTTGTTCCTAAGACTGTGCAGGATGCTTTGTTTGATTCGGGCTGGAGGAAAGCAATGCAAGATGTAATGGATGCTTTGCATCAGAATGGTACATGGAATCTTGTTCCATTACCTCCAGGTGTAAAACCTGTTGGTTGTCGCTGGGTATATACTGTGAAGTATCTTCCAGATGGGTCCGTTGAGCATTTAAAAGCCCGTCTTGTTGCCAAAGGTTATACCCTGACTTATGGTGTTGACTATGCTGAGACATTTGCCCTTGTTGCTAAGATTTCTTCTATTTGTGTTTTGATTTCTCTTACTGCTAATAGACATTGGCCTCTGTTTCAGTTAGACGTTAAAAATGCCTTTTTGCATGGTGACTTAGTAGAAGAGGTTTCTATGGAGCAACCACCTGGGTTTGCTGCTCAGGGGGAGTATCTTCACACTGTTTGTCGCCTTAAAAAGGCCTTGTATGGATTGAAACAATTTCCACGGGTTTGGTTTGGAAAATTCTCCGAGGCTGCATTAAAATTTGGTCTTAACAGATGTCAGACCGACTATTCGGTATTTCACCAGCGCACTAAAGCTGGCTTCATATTTCTTGTGGTGTATGTAGATGATATTGTGATTATAGGTGATGATTCTGAAGCATTGCTAAGTTGAAGTTGTTTCTGCAATATCGATTCCACACTAAAGACTTGGGTAAACTTAGGTATTTCTTGGGTATTGAAGTTGCTAGATCCAAGAAGGGTATAAGTTTATCCCAACGAAAATATGTGTTGGACTTATTAGAAGAAACAGGTATGTTGGGTGGTCGCCCAGTTGATGCTCCTATGGATTCGACTACAAAACTTGTGTCTGATGAGGGTGATCTATTTAATGACCCGGGCAGATTTCGTCGCCTTGTTGGAAAATTAATTTATCTCACTATCACTTGACCTGATATTTCATTTGCAGTTAGTGTGGTAAGTCAGTTCATGGGAGCTCCTAGAATGCCACATTAGATTGCTGTTCTTCGAATTATCTGATATCCAAGCAAGCTTCAGGTTTTAGGTTACTATATAAATCAAATGGTCATCTCAGAGTGGAAGGTTTTACAGATGCCGACTGGGCTAGTTCTCCTTCAGATAGGAGATCTACTACAGGCTACTGCACATTTGTAGGAGGAAATCTTGTTACATGGCGAAGTAAAAAGCAAATGGTGGTAGCTCGGTCTAGTGCTGAAGCTGAGTATAGGGCAATGGCTCATACTACTAGTAAGTTGACCTGGATATAACATTTTCTAACAGAACTTGGGTTGACAGTTGAAGCTCCTACTCCATTTTTCTATGATAATCAAGCATCAGTTCACATTGCTTCAAATCCTGTGCTTTATGAGAGAACCAAGCATATTGAAGTTGATTGCCACTTCATTCGGGAAAAAATATTACGTGGGAGCATCTCTACTCCATTGGTGAAGTCTGAAGATCAATTAGCTGATATGTTTACCAAAGCATTGGGTCATAATCGGTTAAGAATTATCTGTTCCAAGTTGGGATTATCTGATATATATTCTCCAGCTTGAGGGGGAATGTTAGAATGTTATATACATATATATGTTGGGCCACTGTGTAATTGCATACAATAGTGGCCCTTGTATTCTTTGGTTGACTTGTTTCATTTATATAAGCCTATGTAGGCTTATTTGTTTGTTAGTGTGAAAATATATGAGAAAGAGGGCTGCGCCTCTCTTAAAAGTTCTCTCTCTCTCTCTCTCTCTCATCTACTCTCTCATCACACTCTCTATAATCTATAAAGAAAACACTATAAAGGTACAATAAATTCAACTTTAACTAGTAAGTAAATAAATTTAAGAATTTAATTTTCAATAATTAGATTACCTGTAATCAGTTCTTTTGATTGTGAGGAGGCTCTTATTAGGGCATTGGAATTCTCTATAATTAGTTCTCTTTTTTGTTTGGTCATTGGGAGGAATTGTAAATCAATAGGGGAAATTGTTGATACCCTGGATATTATTGAGGGCCCCATCTGGACCTTATGTAGCTTTTGCGGGTTGCGTTCCCCGTTTGATGAGGAGCGCAGGAGAGTTGGGCTTTATTTGAGGCTTCTTGGTAGGGAATAGTCCCAATTAGTTGGTTATCTCTCAATTGCTTTTGGCGTAAGACACTATCATTTTTTTGTGATGCGAGGGTGGACCAATTTAGGTTCTTGAGATATGTTCGGGCTTGTTTCCAACTCGTTTCAACAGGGGCTTGCGCACACAGCAGAGGGTAACCTTCTGTTTTGACTCCTTTTTAAAGAGAATTCCCTTAGGTTGTTCATGACCTAAGGGTCCTTCTGGTGTTTTTTTTTCCCTTTGTGGGCTGCCGATGTTTGTTCAACAGCATATTTGGAGGAAAGCGTTGATTTTTTCGGCCTTGTTTTTCTCTTTCCTCCCTGTTTGACGTGTGGACCAGCCTTATTTTGGTACTATGAGTGATTCTAGTAGCCAAAAGGACACTTTATCTTCGGTACAACATACTTCGGTGCAGCGGGTTACTAGTGTGCTCTTTAAATGGGCGCAACTTAGTATCTTGGTCCCGTTCTCTTAAACTCTATATTAGAGGGAAAGGGAAAACTGGTTGGCTTTTGGATCTAGTTAAGGAACCGAAAAAGACGGATACTAAATATATTGTATGGGACATGGACAGATGCATCATTCTGGGTTGGATTTTCAACTCAATAGAGGAGCCTATCTATAATATGTTCATGTTTCACACTTTCGTTTTTCGTCTGTGGTAAGCCCTTAACAAGATGTATGCCCACTCCCATAATGATGCTCGTATCTTTGAACTTTATCAAGAGATTGCTCATGCATCTCAAGAGACACTCAAGCTGTCAATATAGAGTATTTTGGGTACCTCCAGTCTAGGTGGGAAGAATTAGCACAATATAAACCTCTCCCTGATTTCTCTGAAGAAGCTGCAACTCTTTTGGTGGACTGCTAGCATACCTACCAGTTTTTGATGGGTTTACGATTTGAGGATGAAGCTCTTTGAACTCAGATCATAAACACCTCTCCTATGCATGATTTATATGATGCTTTCGCTACTGTTGACCATGAGGAGCATTGACGTCAGATCTCTCAGCCAGTAGCTTTACTAGAGACTCCAAATGGCTCTTGCCGCTAATTCTAGACTTTCAGAGGGAAAGGTTATTTGTCAATATTGTGAAGCCACAGGTCATGTTAAGGATCGCTGTTTTAAGCTTCATCCCGAGCTAAATCAGAAATTTTCTCACAATAGTCCTTCTGGCCGTGGCTGCATTGCCGCAGTAGCCGATACTATTGGTGGGTATACTACTCCACAGATGGTTGCCCCTCCTGCTTTAACTCCTCCCAAACCATCTTTTCAGGACTTCAATTAATTACAGTCCCAGATTGGTCAGCTTCAGGAGCAGTTAGGAGCTTTATCTACTAGGGTTGACTCTTCTACTCCAACAGCTACTATAGCTACATGTACTCCTTCTGCTTTTCATGTTAAAGCAGGAAAACCTACTTGGGTTCTTGATTTCGAAGCCAATAATCACATGACTGGTGAGTTGTCATTATTTTCTACTCCCGTTACCCCTGTTAATTAGGCTATTAGTCTACCTAATGGGTCAACCACCATTATTCGTAGTAAAGGAGATGTTTATCTGTCCCCTAATATTATTTTGCCGTATGTTCGTCATGTTCCTAACTTTGCATTTAATCTTCTATCTGTTAGCAAACTTGCCAAATCACTATACTGCGCAGTGATTTTCTTTCCTCATTATTGTGTTTTACAGGACCTGTGTTCGAAGAGGACTTTTGGCAGGGGATATGAGCACGATGGCCTCTACTACTTTAGGGATCCTCCACCGACACCTCCTCCACTTGCATCAAGCTTCCTTCAAGCCTCTGTTCTTCCAATTTATAGGTCTTATGATTTTTCTTTTCAGACTAAGTTTATGGTATGCTCGCCTTGGGTATGTAAACTTTTAGTATTTATGTTTGCTTTTCTCTTCATTAATAATGGCTTGTAAGGATAATAAGTTTCAATGTGAGATTTGTGAGCTTTCTAAACATACTAAAACTAGTTATATTTCTCATATGCATCATGCACCTAGTATGTTTGATATCATATATTCTGATGTGTGGGGTCCTTCTCCTGTTTTTGCTTTTTCGGGGTATCGTTATTATGTCACATTCATTGATGATTATTCCTGCTGCACATGGGTATATTTACTTAAAAAGAAATTTGAAGTTTTTCACTTGTTCACTCAATTCATCCAAATGATCAAAACTCAATATAAAACTATTGTTAGGAATATTAGGTCTGACAATGGTCGTGAATATGTTTCCAATGAGTTTCGGTCTCAACTTAATCAACAGGTATTCTTCATTAGCTTGTTCATATACCCCTGAACAGAATCGTGTGGCAGAGTGTAAAGACCGCCAACTAATGTCAGTTGTTCGATGTCTTTTAAGTGGTATGAATGTGCCAAAGTTGTACGGCACATGGCGGTTCTTACAACTACTTTTCTCATTAATCGTACCCTTAGTAGTCTTAAATGGTAAGGCCCCCTTACAAGTGCTTCAGCCCGATATTACTCTTTTTCCCATCATGCCTCGGGTGTTTGGATGTATATGTTTTGTTCAGAATCGTAGCCCTTCTTGTACTAAACTCGTTGACAAGGCCAAGCTGGGCTGGATTGATATCTTCACTTCAGCTCGAGGGGGTGTGTTGAAATATATTTATTATTATTATTTTTATTTTTATTAGTTGTTTTAGCCCAGCTTGGTAAGGCCATTAATCGTATCTTTTTAGGACACTCTTCCATGTCAAAAGGTTATCGATGTTATGATCCTGTACACAAATACATGTATCACTTTCGTGATGTCACCTTCCACGAGCATACCCCTTTTTATGGTTCTAACACTATCTTGTATGAATCTTCTACTATCGATCAAGAGGCTTCTCCCCTTGCTCGTCCTCTTCATATTTTTTAAGAAGAGTCTTCTCTTGTGGTTTCCTCACCCCCTTTGCAGGTTTATTCTCGCCGCCCTCATGCTGCGCCTCTATTGCCTTCATCCTCTTCAGATTCAGGTTCAGGTACATCTCTCTCTCCTTTACATTTCCCTAACCCTGTTTCTGAGTACTGATCATCCTATTTCACAGTATATCTCTTATAATGGTCGTTCAGGGTCTTACCGAGCCTTTCTAGGCAAACTTAATTCCATTTCCATTCCCAGAAATGTGTCTGAGGCTCTCCGGAATCCCAATTGAATGTCTACTATGAAGGTAGAAATGGATGCTTTGTAGCATATTAAAACATGGGAGCTTGTATCCCTCCCACCTGGTGAAAAGACTGTTGGTTGCAAATGGGTATTCAGTGTTAAACATCTGGCTGATGGCTCTATTGATCGGTTTAAGGCCCGTTTGGTGGCCAAAGGGTTTACTTGGATTCCTGGTAAAGACTTTAATGTTACCTTCGCTCCAGTGGCTAAATTGACCTCAGTTCGTTTGCTTGTCTCCTTGGTTGCCTCTCACAATTGGCCTCTTCATTAGCTTGATGTGAAAAATGATTTCCTTAACGATGATCTTCTTGAGACTATTTACATGGATCCTCCACCCAGTTTTCGGTTTGAGGGGGAGTATACTGGAAAGGTCTGTCAATTGCGGAAGTCTTTGTATGGATTAAAGCAATCTCCCAGAGCTTGGTTTAGCCGCTTAAGTGATGTAATTCTATCCATAGAGTTAGTTAGATGCCATTCTGACCATACATGTTTTATCCACCGTTCGATGTATCATTCTTCTTGTCTCTGTTGATGATATTATCATTATTGGCAATGACATCCCTGGGATTGCTCAAATAAAGCTTCATTTGGCTAAAGCTTTTGACGTGAAAGACCTTGGACAGCTCAGATATTTCTTGGGAATTGAGGTTGCTAGATCTAAGCAGGTTATCTCTTTGTCGCAAAAGAAGTATGTCTTGGATCTTCTTCGAGACACGGGGATGCTTGGGGGGTGTAACCTGCTTCCACTCCTATGGATCCTACTCTAAAGATCTTGGCTGAGTCTGGAGATCTCCTTTCTGATCCCTCGCAGTATCAACGCTTGGTAGGAAGATTGATTTATCTTAACAACACCCGTCCTGATTTGGCTTTTGCTGTTAGTATTGCGAGCTAGTTTATGCACGCTCCTCGTACAACTCATATGGATGCGGTATATCATATTCTTCGATATCTTAAGTTATGTACTGGACTTGGATTATTCTATTCTTCTAGTAGGCAGGTTGGGCTATCTTGTTTCAGTGATGTAGACTATGCTGGGTCTAAGACTGACAGACGTTCCATATCTGGCTTCTGTACTTTCTATGGAGACCATCTTATATCCTGGAAAAGTAAGAAGCAACCTGTAGTTTCGAGATCTTCAACAGAGGCTGAGTAGCGTGCAATGGCTCAGGGTACTTATGAGATTCTCTGAATTTGATCTTTTTTGGAAGAGCTAGGGCTAGGTGAAAAATAGTCCTCCGACTTGTTTGTGATAAAAGTCAGCCATCATGCTTTCTTCAGATTTTGTTATTCACGAGAGGACTAAACATATGAGGGTGGACATTCATTTTATCAGAGAGAAGGTTTGTTCGGGAATTATCAAGTCGTGCTTTGTTCGGTCCTCTAATTAGTCGGTCGATGTGTCACCAAATCTGTTGGTCCATCTTTGCTTCATTCCTCGATTACCAAGCTGGGCTGGATTGATATCTTCACTTCAGCTTGAGGGGGAGTGTTAAAATATATTTGTTATTATTATTAGCTGTTTTAGCCTTTTATTAGGTGTTTTATATAAGATCTCAACAATCATGGGATCACGTAGATAAGATCCCCATAATCATGGGATCACGTCGATATTGGCATATTTTCTGTTTTTCTTTGATTTGGCTTCCTTTCTTTGTTCCCTATTTTTGTATATAAATATAGCTCTTGGCTCTCAGTTTGAGTAAGCCAAAATCCAAAATTTCTTCTTTTAGATCAACATTGGGAAAAGTGAGTTGGTTCTAGTTTGGGATAGTTGATGGAATTCATAACTTAGCAGACATTCTTGGATTTGGTGTTAGCTTTTTTCCAATCTCCTATTTGGGGCTACCCTTGGGAGGCTTGTCGAGGAGGACTTCAGTTTGGGATCCCGTGGTTGAGTGTTTCGAGAGGAGGCTCGCAGGTTGGAACAAGCAGTTTCTATCGAAAGTGGGGTAGCTTACTCTTTTGAAGAGTACCTTTTGAATTTTCCAACTTACTTCATGCCAGTTTTCGGGAGGATTGCTGGTGCAGGTACATTGTTTTGGCTCGTAGGTTCCCTCGTCTCTTTAGGATTTCTTCGAGTAGACATGCTTTGTTATCGGCTTGATGACGGGAGGATGACTTGGGATATGCATTTTCGTAGAGAGTTTCATAATTGGAACCTTACGAAAGTCGCTAAGTTCTTAGCTTTGCTCTACAACCAAGTGGTGGAGGGAGTGGGGATGGATGAGATGGTGTGGGTGGGCACCTCGAGAGGGGTATTTGAGGTTAGGTCTTTTTACCAGAGTCTAGCGGAGATCTTAGGTCCTACCTTCCCTTGGAAGGCAAATTGGAGGTCGAAAGCCCCCTTCAACTCGGAAGCATTCTCACTCTCGACAATCTCTGAAGAAGACGCCATATTGTGGTTAATTGGTGTCGTATGTGCAAGAACACTGAGGAAAAAGTGAATCACCTTCTTCATTACACTGTGGCGAGGGATGTTTGGTCTATGTTCTTGCGTTTGGCATTTCTTAGGTGTTTTCCGGATCAACGGTGGACATGACTAAGGCTTGGAGAGGGTGTTTAGTGGAGAGCTGAGCCAGAGATGCTTGGAGAGCCACTCTCCGTTGTTTATGGTGGGGTTTGTGCTTCGAGAGAAATAGGTGATCCTTTGATGGAATGGAGAGGAGACTCCTATTTTGTCTCTCAACTACAATATACTATCTAGTTTAATTTTTTTGGGTTAATGGACAAAATGGTAAATCTATGGGGCATATTTTGGATTTTGTGGATAGCTTGAAATTATAGTTGTTGCCTTTGGAGTCTTGTGTATTCTTTTGGGAGCGCTTCCCTCTTGAGCGCCTTTTATGAAACCTTACTTATAAAAAAAGAAAGGAAAGAATTTATCAATCTATTTAGTAGTTTCTTACCTGTCCTAACGTGCTCCAATTTTGTCCACAATCAGAAGCACTACAAGTGAAGCTGAGAACCTTTATTGCAAACTTTTGCACGAGTCTTGTTGGCTTGCAATATGCTTCCCACCAATTAGCTATTAAAAATATTATTAAATGATCTTTAGCTTCATGTTTGTAATGATTCTATTGTCGTAATAATTGTATAAATTAGTAAATGATATACCAACTTAGTATAGTTGACCTGTTTCACGTGTACATCTTTGTCTAATAGCAAAAGAAGTACCAAAGAGGCCCTCAGCTTTAGAATATAAGGTCAACTCCTCACTAATTTTGTCTTGCTCTTTAGTGTCTGGGACTAACCATGCTATACATTCATACAAACCCTTTGCAATCTCTTCATCTGCTTCAATATCTGGGTTTGAATAATAGAACTCTTAAGTTCAAATAATAACTTGCCGCATGCAAAGGGCGATGAAGTTGAACTTTCCCCCTCCTATCAAAAACTTTGCAATCGCTTCTTTGGCCCTTATCCATAACCTCATAAATGTATCCCATAAGAGGTTTTCTCTCACCATCGACTAATCTCAAAACATGAACCAGAGGTCCGGAAACCTTAAGGCTAAAGATGATGTTGTTTTAAAGGAAGGAATCAAAACAAAAGAAGCTACTCTTTTCCCGGTTTGCACTTCTGACCATTTACTACGACTCCATTCTTCCAAAGTATACATCTTTCTCAAGTTCTCCTTTTGCTTGTAAATACCTGGTAATTTTTTTTTTTTTTGATGAGTAACGATTGTATCAAAATCGTCCAAAAGGGGAATGCATCCCTCAAAAGCTACACAAGGCCAAATAGGGCCTTTATACCCTCAAAGGGTCCAAACAATCATGTTCAACTACCTTGAACGGGTATAATTATAAGCATTCAACTCGATTGACCTCTTCAATGTTCTATATAGATGGCCGGTAGCTTCCCGACGTCTTCCAAGATCAAGTCTAAGCAATGAGCAACACATGATGTCCGATACAAATGTGGGTGTGCGGTCTCTAACATCCTCCCTATTTGAAACCAAAAGGGAAAAAAAAAATTGATATAAAGAGAATGACTAAATCAAAACCATTGATTTTTAAAATGACTCACTAAAACAAGAATTCTAAATTATATATATTTCTAAACTCTAAAGTATATAAAACATTCTTACCGGCTTATACATTACTTGATTCACTATCAGTGACAACTTGGACAAGATTTGTTACTCCAATGCGCTTAACAAATTTATCAAATAGATCAAACATCTTATTACCATCCTCGGAATTAGAAGAAGTATCCACCGATTGAATAAACGTTGTTCCCCTTGGACTATTTACTGAGAAACTAATCAAAGTTCTCCCTCTCTTTTCTGTCCACCCATCTGCCAGTATTGAGCATCCAAATTTTGACGACTACTTTCTTTGGTCACTCATCAAAATTGTTGGTATCATTCTATCCTAAATCAAAGGAACTCTCACCTCATGATAACTAGGTTTCATGCCAGGATCATATTGTCTAGTTGCTTCAATCGCATAAGGAAAGCTATCATATTTAACATCATTGAATGAGATTCTTGCATCACATATCCTCATTGCTAAAGCAGTGCATGCTTGTCCCCTCAACTCTTTATTGGATGCATCGTTAATGGTGGTATGTTTTCCCTTTCCCTCCTTTCTTTTTTTTTTTTTGTAGACAGTTTCTGGTTTAGGAGTAAAATATAAATTGATCTATCCCTTCAGTGTTATTAAAGGCGTGCCCAAGCGCACGCCTAGGTGCACATAGGCACAAGTCTTATGCCCAGTGTAATGAAAGGCTCAAGGCACACTAAGGCACTAGAGGTCCTTTAGAGCCTAGGCGCGAGGCACACAGCGAGACGCACGCTTGAGTGAAGCGAGGCACACAATTGAAAATTTAAACTACCATATAAGCATTCATATCTCTTTAGTCATGTCATTATTCTAAAAACTAATATCAAACATTTATTAAATCCATCAACCATATAAGCATCCAAGAACCAAAAAAGTAAATCCATACATCCAATTCCAAAGACTTTCAAGCTGTAAAATCCAAATGAAACATGAGACATGAGAATTGAAGCAAGAATAGATCAATCTGCTAACACATGCACTCACTCGAGACAACCAGAACACAATTAAACCAATAAACCCCAGTAAGAAAAACTTCCATTATATGGAGCTTATGGTCTCATAGAAATAAGGTGTTAAATGGTGGAACTAATAATGCAGCTGAAGATATAGCTAGGGAAGCAAGTCTAGAAGGGATAACTTCTCTAGGCATCTCTTTAGCTGATCTACATGTACTGTTTTGAGTTCTTTTTGTGATTGCTTGTATTTTTCTAGTCTAGGATGTGTCATGGTCCTCATGGACTAGCTGTTTTCCTCTGTGATCTCTTATTAGTGGATCACTTCTTATCTTGTACTTTATTGTTTATTTGTATCAATAAAATTTCCAACATTCAAGAAAAATATATATATATATACATCGAGATGTCGTGTGACTTGATGAGTGCATCTTTATTTTCAACATTCATCATATGTATTAGTAGATTAGTGAACTGTTGTCATATGTGTTGATACATCCATTGCGGCGCTTATACAAGTATATTCAACACACCAGAGCAATCAACACCAGATTCTCAATTCAGACAACTAGTGTCTGATGATGATCACCAAAGAAGCATATTCACAATTGTGAAGGCTGTAGGAGGACGACTTGGAGATGTTCAAAGGACTGAAGGTTTGGTGTCCTATTGTGTGTAGAGATAGGTAGGAGTTCAAGGGTACTAATTTGTTAACCTAGGCTGTAAATCTCTTTATTGATAGTGGATTAGTTGCCTGGACTAGGTTCCATGATTTTTTCTCTCGATTGAGGTTTTTCCATGTAAAATTTGGTGTCCATAGGTTTACTACTTAACTGTGTATTTATTTATACTATGCATGCCCACCCCGCCAAACCCCCCCCCCCCCCCCCCCCCCCCCCCCCTCCCCATCCCGCTCCCACCTCCTTCCTTTCCTCCTCTGGGTCTAAATCCGTGGACCTTGCACAACTCTCTATTAGTGCCTCGGGTTTGGGTACTAACGTTTCATGCACGTTTTATCACAGTCCACCTTCTTAGGTGAAGCTACCTGTTATTGTTGTTGTTAACCAAGGGATTTATTTTCTTGATGATTATATGCTTTGTGCTCCTCAAGCATAATCTAGGGAGCTTCATTGCAAGACCATTATTTCATTTAGTCCCACGAACGTTTTAAACTGTCTCTGGTTTTCCCCTTCACTTTGAAAGTTTTCCATGTAAAGTTTGATGTTCTTGTATGGTTGGGATGCTGCTCGACTTTCTTTACCTTTTTCTAATTTTATATTTCACACATATTGTTATCTTTGTCTGACCCTTTGAAGAATTACAAGAAGTGAGCAGTGCAAATTTTATCTGACAGATAGGTTATCCATGTCATACATATGCGCGGAAAGAAACTATTTTCAGAAGTTTTTCAATCCCAACTCTCTGAAACCAGAACAGGTTTCTTCCACAATTAAATCTTCTTGGGTGCTTTTAAATCATATGTTGAGCTACCATTTGATCTATATATACTAAAAATTAAAATTAACAAGTTAACATGTAAAAACAAATAAATAGACGTATATGGGGTTTTCCCCTCCCATTTCTTGTCAAAGCTCTTCTACCTTTTGTTGATTATTTTATAATTTACATGATCTTATTATTATTATTTTTCCCTGAATGGATTTGAATTTTATTGATACAAGATATAACAATATAGTACATAGGAAGGGTGATCAAAAAACAGATCACAAAGGAAAATACATCAAGAGATGAAAGAAAGAGGTTAGGGCATAACCCTAAATCAACAAATATACCAAAAGGATAAGAAACTGCATCAGCATCAGATGAAGACTTATACACCAGCATCAACAAGTAAAGCACCTAGATCAGTTAGTTTTAATCCAACCGCATCTAGACCTTCAAAACATATTTTCATGGCCAACTGTTGAGGAGTGTGAGTATTACCACCATGAACCTTGCAGTTTCTTTCATTCCAAATGCACCATAAGGTTGCTTAGAAAAGACATCTTAACAGCTTATCCTTCACTGTATTTGCATGATCTTATATTTATCTGTTTAATTTTTTTAGTGATAATAATACCCTAAATGTGACAAATAAAAAATTCCTTGTCTCATCACGTATTGTTGTTTTTGTCTGTTCTTCTATCTCTTGATTTTAGTAATTAAATTTTCAGCTAATCAAGGACATATTGTCCCGCAATCGTGTGCCAGTCATTGTTGGAGGTACAAATTACTATATCCAGGTAATATTTTGTGTTCTTCTGTCACTTTGTGTTAAAGAAGATCAAGTTGGTTGCTATATTTACTGTGAATTTGTGTTTTACTCCTTGCATATGCATGCTTTTCTAATTCATATGTTGAATTTAGTTTGTGAACAACGATGATTTAAGCTAGGAACATTTCTGTGTTAGTAAGTTCTGCATCTGTATGCTGCATGAGAATTACTTTGGCAAATAAGTTTTAGTAAGAGAACATGATTACAACAGGGCTATAACAAGCGAAAATAAATGCAAAGCATAACCAATAGCTAGCAAGATTAAACAAACAAGAGAGAGCCACGACAACATCTAGCAAAAACCAAATACAAAGCAACCACCCAGCAGCCACAAACAACTACAAAAGTTTAACGACCCACCAGCCACTAACAATCCAACCAAGAAAGATCAAACCAAGCAGCATTCCTTTGAAAGCAGAGCTCCAACCTGAACAAGTTGCCCAGAAAACAGAAGATTGACAACAGAACTAAGAAGCAGAAACTAAAAAAACCTCCCGCTTTCAGAACCATTCAGCTAGCTTAATCAAGAATCAACTGAGCTGAAAATTGATTCTGAAAGATTCCAAAGATGCTGAAGATGTTTGTTTGAATCAGAAGAAGAAATGCCTCAGAGAAGAGACCCTAAATCTGATGGCATTAACAAGTTTAGAAAGAATAGAAAACTCATCGATAAAACAGTGGGAGAATTAGCCTAGCATTCATCTTCATCCATATGTAATAGGCCGAGTAGAAAGACAAAGTTTCAAATGAGTAGCCTTGAGGGACTTCCCTTTGAAAGTTAAAGCAGCCCAGCTAACAATATCCTCCCCACACACCATATTGGGTAGCATAGTAGTCTTTGGCTCATCTCCAGCCACTATTCTGACTATGCAACTCTATGTTCCCGTCAATATTAATTCGAACGAAATTCCTGCTCCAGCAGATCCAGATACCTGATTTGCCATGTTTGCAGAATGAGAAGGCCTGAGATTTTCTGTGGATTGTTCAGTCTAGAATGAATGGGTAACCACAGAATAAAGTCAAGTCCTGGTATATTTACTGGAGAGCCATAGAAGGTGAGCCCAATTATAAGTGGCTCGCCTCGCCTAGGATTTAACATTTTCCAGGCTGAAGTATTTGAAAAAGACCCTGAAAGGATCTATTTAACTAAATCAGGCTGCAAGGGGTCAAAGGAGTTTGGATCAGGAAGGTTACTAATAACAGAAAGCAGCTGAGGAGATCTTGGGACAGAAACAAGCCAAATCCAAGTCCTATTATTGAAAACATCTTTGATTTCTGCAGTCCTGGAAAGGCAGAACCATGAATAATACTATCTCCACATAGCTGATGAATTGATCCAGAAGGCAAGCAATAGTCAAACCATAAGAAAGTTTGATTGCCATCACCTATAATTGACGCAGCAGATCAATGAAAGCTAGCAAAATAATTAAGAATAGCAACGTATTCTTTAAACACTCGAATCCGTGAGAAGAAATTGAGAAAAGCTCTCAGTTTTCTGATATTAATAAAATATATAATTGATCCCTAAACTATTACAATAACATGCATTTATAGGCCTAAACAAATCCTAAACTATATGGGAAATTAAATTAATGAAAACTTTCCTAAAACATCAATGTCTTAAATAGCTAGCCGCAAACCATTATTGAACCGTGCAACTTGTTGTGCTTCAGTCTCTTAATAAATCATTGCATGATGATTATCGATAGAATTCTTCAGCATAAACACAAACCGAACGATTTCCTTAGCGACAATTCTGGTATTGTTGAAATAAAATCTGATCATAATTAGTCGGTTGAAATTGCTTCTTCATTAATTGTTTCATCCGAGACCAGGATCTAATCGGATCCTTCATCTATCGGGTTTGAGAACGTTGTAACTGATCCCACCATGCAGAAGCACCATCGCCCTTGGAGGAGGATTGTCTTAAGATGATAGGCATGTGGAAGTGCAAGCCTTTTAAGTTGGGTGGCCTAGGTATTAGGAGAATGGTCCCTTTTAACAAAGCTCTCATGGTTAAGTGGTTGTGGAGATTTGGTAAGGAGTGTCATCGCCCTTGGAGGAGGATTGTCTTTTGTAGATTCGAGGAAGAAAGAGGTGGGTGGTCTTCTTGCCCAGTTTCCATTGCTGGAGTGGGCACGTGGAAGTGCATTCGGAAGGGGTGGGATGTTTTCTCTTCTCATATTCATTTCAAAGTTCGGGATGGTAGATGTGTTTGGTTTTGGGAGGATCTTTGGTGTGGTTACCAGCCTTTGTCTTGTATCTTTCCTAAAATTTATGGAATCGCTACCGATAGACACGCCTCTGTTGCTGATTGCTATCGGCTTGATAGCAATGGGATTACGTGGAATGTGAGCTTTAGGTGCTCTTTCCAGGATTGGGAGATGGAGGTGTGTCTTATTGGATTTGTTGTATCAACAGGACGCAGTTGGCAGAGGTCAAGATGCTCTCTTGTGGGTTCCATCTTCCCATGGTAGATTCGATGTTCGGTCCATGTTCTTGTGCCTCTCCAACTTTGCTAGTTCTGATTTCCCTTGGAAGACAGTATGGCGCTCTAAGGCTCCCCTTAGAGTGGCATTCTTTGTATGGACAACCGTTTGGGGTAAAATTTTGACGCTGGACAATCTGAGGAGGAGAGGCAATATTATTGTTAACTGGTACTGCCTATGCAAAAATGATGGTGAGTTTGTGGATCATCCCCTTATGCACTGCCTTGTGGTGTCTGACTGTTGGAACATGATCTTTGGGTTATTTGGTATTTATTGGGTAATGCCACGGTCTTCAAGAGGTCTGATTAATGCATAGAGGGGATGCTATGTGGTCTTGCTCAAGACTAATGGAGGACAGTCCCGCATCGTGTGTTGTGGTGCACTTGGAGAGAGCGGAACAACAGACTATTTGAAGGAAAGGAATCGTCTACGGCGACTCTAAAACTTTTTATTCTTCGTTCCATTTTAAATTGGGTGAAGGGAAGTTATTGTTCTTCTAATGATGATTTCATAGATTTTTTGGACCTTCTGGGTCCTTGGGTTTCGGTTCTGTTTTTGTATATGGGACGCGTTCCCCTTTTGAACGCTTTTTTCGTTTCAATCCACATTTACTTATCAAAAAAAAAAAACTGATGATAGGTGACCAGTTTAACTTTCTTTTCCTCTGCGATACCCATATAATCAAAAAAATTGTCTACTTCTGAAAGCCAGTTCAGAAACCCTTCGATATCTAGTTGACCATTAAAAGACTGAAGGTCAATTTTCATTCGAAAATCTTGCTGATTTGTTTCGACCCCCCGTGATCTCCATATGCTAAAACGATACCTTCTCATCATCCCTTGAATTAGGCCAAACCTCTTGCTAAAACTGGCGTTGATTATTAGCACGTGAAAGATGACCACGTTGATTTCCTGCCCCTTGTCGTGGCTGATTCACACCATCAGGTTGGTCCCAGTCATGCCTATTCCGAACCTGCACACGATTCATGGCTTCAGTTAAACGTTCAACTACTGTCTGAATCTCTTGTTTCTGTTCCTGACGCAATTGTTGGAATTCTTCCACAGTCACTGCATGTTCTCCATGATCACTGTCCATAGAGAATGAAAATGCTCTCAGTTTTCTGATAGTAATAAAAGATATAATTGATCTCTAAACTATTACAATAACATGTATTTATAGGCCTAAGCAAATCCTAAACTATATAGGAAATTAAATCAATGAAAACTTTCCTAAAACAGACATCAAACTATTAGGAAACTAAAACAATGGAAAACTTTCCTAAAACAGAAACTAAACTATTAGGAAATTAAAACAATGAAAACTTTCCTAAAACAGAGAATAGAAAACACTGTTCCCGAGCACTGTTTATGCCTGCCCATTCATGTACTACATCAATAATGCATTGAATGCAAGGCCAGAAGATAAGTCTGATTTTCAGGAGCTTCCTCTATGCCCGAGAACAGTCTTGAGGAGGCTTAATATACCCGAGACACCTTCACTTAAGTAAGTTTGCTCTAGTTTAGGTGATGTAGAACAACTCGCTCATGATTATCTGAGCATACAAGATCATCGCAAATCAGGGAGGCTGAAAAGGTAAGGAAAATAGAATAAAAAAATAAATAAATAAGGAAAAGTCAAAAGGAGATTTGGTGTAGTTGCCAACAATAGAAAATATTATTCTCCATTGCAAGGATTAAGGAGGATTCAGAAAATAAATAAGAAGATTTGGTGTAGCTGCCAACAATAGAAGATTTTATTCTCCATTGCAAGATTTAAGGAGGATTCTGCTCCATTAAATCTCAGATTTCCCCTTTAATATCATTTCACACATGCTTTCTTTTTTTATTTTATTTTTGACTTGCCTATATAAAGACAAGAGATGTAAGTCTGTAGAAATCATTATTATCAATATAATTTCAGTTTCTCTCTTATGAGTGTGTTCTTTATGAATTCATGGGTTTAACCCAGTTTTTTATCGTTTCCGCTACATTAGTTGGTATCAGAGCAAGGTTCCAAATCCAAGATTTGCCTTTGTTTTCGATGGCCGGTTCACGAGATGGAAGCAACCCCTCCAGCGACAGTGATCGTGATGGAGTAGCTCTTTTGAGGGCTGAGTTTAGTGAGTTCTAGACCAACGTTAATTGAACCTTACTTGATTTGCATGAAACTATGCGTCAAGTATTGGCGAGATTGACAACAGTAGAACTTAACCACGAGAACAATAGGCTGCCCAACGACGGTGATCATGGACGTCGGTAATCACAACTCAAACCCTCCGAATAGGCAACTAACCTATGAGGAAAATGTTGGTTTTGGTAACAACCAAGCTGTACAGGTGTTTGGAGATAATCGAGGTCGATGGGAAATTGATGATTCCAGGGATTTTTGTATAAAGATTGACCAACCCACCTTTCAGGGTCATCTTCGGATTGAAGAATTCTTGGACTGGATTAGTGAAGTTAAACGTTTCTTTGACTAT